AGTTTCCTAAACTTTTCTTGAAAAATCTTATCTTTCTCTCTTGTGTTCTTGAGCTCTAATTCTTGAGTATATTTTTGAAGGTGTCTTCATGTTTAAAGGATCATCCTTGTTGGTAAAAAGTGAAGCTTGGAGCTAAATGTGTGAGTTTTGAACCAGGAAATGGTTAATTGATGTTTAAAGATACAATCTTTGGATCCTTGTATGGATTTCATGAAAAATGATGAACTTGAATCCTAAAAGAGATAGATGATGATTCTTACCTCTTGAGTATAAGGTGGAGTACTTGTGTTAAAAATAAGGTAATCATCGATTAGTGGATTAATTAAGTGTTGGGGCTAATTAACTAAAGAAAGGACAAAGGAACAAGCTTAAAAATCTTAGTTTACACCATAACTTTGGAGGGTGATATCTCCCTCATCCCTTGGTCAAATGAGGCTCATGATACCTAATTTCAAATCTTGAGATGTCATATATATTGTCCTAAAATTTGAGAGGATTATGTGTTGTGGCTTATCCAGAAAGTGAATTTGAGTCCAGACTGCCCAAACTCGCGTAGTGCAGGAACAATTCCAAAGGTCCAACTTCTAAAAATCATATCTATCTCATTACTTACTCAAATTAAGCTTATGATACCTCTAATTAAAGCTCTAGGTGTCTACTACAACATATTAAAGTATGAGAGAAATCAGACTTCTGAAACTCTCACAGGGACAAAAACCCTGAGGGATGTTAGGATCCCCTGCACTGCCTAAAAACAGATTTGTGAGTTGAACTTCCAAAAATCATAACTTGAGCTATATAGCTCTGATTAAGGTGTGTGATACCTTGTTGGAAAGGTAATTGGGTCTAGATTAACATAATAAAATATGAGAATTTTATAATAAGTATATTGGACACAGAGAGTAGAAAATATAAGCGTGTAGAGTAAAGGAAAACCGTAAAAGTGAGATTTAGGTGAAAATGAATTTATGGGAACCCTTTGAACTTATAATAATTAATGTTCAAGGTTATGAATGACATATATTGATGGTAAATATCTTGATTAGTGGTAAGTTAAGTGAAAAATGCTTTAAGCTAAGAGAGTTTATTAAGAGACTAAGTGCCTAATGAGTTATTGTGGACTTAGTGAACAATTCCTTATGAACTAAAAACATGTAATTAAGTAATAAATTGTCTAGACTTGTAATGGGCATATTATTGACATATATGTATGGAAAGTAGAATATAAATGGTTAAGTCTTGTATATGACTTGATTAATTACTATGTAATTAATGATGTGAATGGTTCCTACTCTATGTGTGCCTAGAGAACCTTGCACTTGAGGATTTATTGGAGCATACGTATTTTATTGTTGGAGTTGGGCTTGTGATAAGCTCAGTGAGGTAAGCTTCTGGTTCTGGTTGCTCCTATCTCTTGTGGTCCCACCATTATGGTGGACATTATGATTGTATTGTATGAAAATATGGGGTATACTGTATATGTGCATTCATTCACATTCATATTGATGTTATATGATTCTTGATGATATGATGCACTGATGATATATGTTATGAGGATCTTGGCCAGTGATCATGGTATGTAGGCTGCTTATGGCTTGACTCTGGGAGTTATTTCATACTGAGATTGTTTTGATGTCTATGGCTTGACCCTGGAGTCACACAGGTGTAACCGTCTATGACTTTGACCCTGGGGTTACCTAAGGATTGATATGATGATGCTATATTTATACTGTATGTTTGTTATATATGCTTTATATCTGACTTGTCATGCAAGATGTGGGCTCAGGGGATTAGAGGGTCCTCTAAGAACCTTGAGTTTATTGAGATGTGGTTATCTCACCCCTCTTTGGGGACATCATTTCAGGTACCCAGATTATCAGCGTGCAATCTAAAGGCAAGGGCCCCACCTTGGAGTAGTTGATGATGCTGTTAATTATTTATATTATGACTAGACTCTGTGATGACATGTATAATCATTAACATGTCCAATTATCTTATGTTCAGATTATGTTATGTATTTACTTTGGCTCATGACTGTAGTATTGGAACCGTGGATTATTTACTGATGTTTTGACGTCTTGAAATTTATATAGACTTGATGTATGTATTCAGTTATTTGGTCATGGAGCCTTATTGTTTATATTGAACCGTAGAGGGGATCGCAGCCCGTGTGGGACTTGCGAGCTGTCTGTTTAATTATTGTATCTATCAGATAGTTATCCGAAATACAGCTGTTATGTTGTCTCCTAGACTCTGTCAGGAATGATACTTAGGTGCTGTTTGGTTGAGGAGTTTCTATAATTTCCCCATGCAAATGAACTTGGGCATCCACTTTGTCTCTGTTTGGTAGACGGATTTGGCAACGATGCCCATCTATTCCATTTGCATGGCATTTCCCATTTGGTCGATGAAAGCAGGGAATTGGCACTGTTTAGAAAGAGAACTCGGACGTGGTTTTTGGTGGAAAGCCGTCTAATTTGCAAAAGGCAATTTTAAATCAACCGAAAATACCCTATGATATTATCTTGGTTTGGAGATGGATCGGTTGGCTGGAGTGGGGGTATGGCTGGTTTTTCTGGCTAGGAGAAGAGGAGGGGCAGTGATGGGCTGTTGAAGATGAAGATAGGATGGGGGGCTGAACGGTGGTGGCTGGATGGAGATGGTGGTCGGCGGTGTGGTTGTGGGTTCACAAAAAATAAAAATAAAGTAAAGGCTGTTAGTGGTGGGTTGATGGAAGGAGGACGATGAGGTGGGGTAGTGGTTTGGGTGCAGCGGTCATGGTGGAATGATGGGCTTTGGAGGGACGATGAGGTGGTGAAGAGAAGGAGGATGACGGTAGTGTGTGGTGAAGGCTGAGGGTTTCAAAATTAAAAAAAAATAAAAAATAAAAAGGGCAATGTTTAAAAGGATAGTTTCGTAAATTCAGAATAGTTACCCATCATTATTTTATATTCAACCAAACACACTCTTCACAAATTTCACTTAATTTTCCTGGTAAAATTTTACTCAACCAAATAACTTTTTTTACATTTTCCTATCAAACTCAGTTTCCAACCATTTCCCTATCAATTTCATTTCCCTAGTATTCAAAAAATTTCTCCTCAACCAAACGCCACCTTAAGGTCATATCCGGATGGTCAACGGTCAATTGAGATGGCCAATGGTTTTAATTAGTAGACTTAAACGTTAATGTCACGTTAATATAATATATCAGATGAACGCTTGAAAATGTTTTAGAAAATATTTTGAAAAAGTTTACTCGTATTTTATAAGACGTTTTATTATTCTTTAAAATAAAGTCTTCTGTTGTGTATGCTAAATATTATAGATGTTAACAACCGGAGTACTACGGGGTATTACAATAATTATTTAGCTTTGGTCCCGAAAATTCTCTCAGAATTCAAATCCTTACTTTTTGGCAGTTCGTTAACTTAGATTTTATACACACCAAAATAATGTGGACTAGATTTTATACACACCAAAATAATGTGGACTCTTTAAATGTTTCTTGAGTACTTATAGAGATCTTCCTCAACCTACTCAGGGTCATTAAAAGCAAGGTCAGCAGTATCACATGCTTTAATTCAATTACTAAGTTATACACTCTTTAATTTCTACTAAGTGCATTTTTCTAATCCTTGCTGACAAACAACTAAAAAGATCACACCAACAATTCGATTTTAAGATGAAAAGAAGATTTCCCATACAATTGAAAATACTTTAATAATCATTTTAATTTGAATAAGGCACAAAGGGTTTTGCTTATTAAAAAAGAGCCTCATTCGTTCCTTTGTTGGGGTTGCTAAGAAACTCTGGTGCCCCTTCAAATACCAAACTTATTAGCACATTCCAAAAGAAAGCCCTGCACCCAATTTACAAATCATAATGCCTGTGTTCTAAGACATTTGGTACAACTTTTCCAGCACTATAATATTATTGGCTAAATAATATCACCACTAACCATCAACTTGTCCATAATGTTTCCTTTGAGGATAGTTCAAAGACAATGTTAGTTGAACCTTAATTAGAAAACACTTATTCAGAGCTCTCAACTTTTTAAGTGGTTCATTAATCATTGATGGATTGTAAAAGTTGTCCTCTGAAGAATTGGAAAAACACTCTCATGTTCAAATTAATCCAGTCATATTATATTCCAGATAGAGCCTCATGAAAAGCTGAAAAATAAATACCAAATTGGCATGCATTATGACTTGTCCATAAATAACTTATGGGTAACTTATTAGCAAGAAAACCAACAATAGAAAATGAGATTCAAAAGGTGAGATGGTTTTGGATAGGACAATAGCAGAGATAACTAAAAGTTCAATGTCTGTATAGAATTGGTTGGAGGGAACATTAAAATGAAGTAACATATTATGAGACTAGTTCAAACTGTTGTACCTTGAATGGGGTCAGATAAATAAAGAGAAAAATACTACTCGGGTTGCTTGAGAAATGTTTTCTCATGCTATGACTTTTTGATTTGCATATAAATTTTTCTTTTTTAATAAATGTGGAGCCCACCACTAATATGAGAAAACAATTCTCATACAACACGAAAAAATAAAAACCTATAAATAAATTGGTTCAAGTATAATTGTATTGTAATCACAAAACTTATTCAAACTGCTGTATCTTCCACAGATTTTTTCAGTTGTTGTTGCTCTTTGCATTGTCTCCAATAATCTTCTAAAACAAACTTCGAACGTGTATATGTTTCTGACCATAGCCCACATTAATAGTGTGCTAAGTAGAAGTAAAGTGCTTGTGTTATAAAATGTAAGGGCCTCTACTGTTTTCAAAACAGAAAAAAATAAAATTCGTAATGACATTTTCAACATGCATGATTTTTCAACTTGCATTGTTTATGCACTTGATAGTTGATATGACATTTTGTAATATAATTTCCAACATGCATGATTTGTCAAAAGTAAGTGCTTGTTTCTATTATTGCTTAGTGCAAAAAGCAGTGCATCATCTGGATTCAAGAATCACTGGTATTATGTTGCCTTCCTGTGATATTTTCTTCAGTGGCAATACCATCTAATTGGCCACATCCTATACAAAAGAATAAGCAGTTTTCAAACTTAACACTTAGCTATATCAAATTATGTTTTTAACATAGTTGACGCCTTCAACATTCACATGTCACAAACTTAACAGTGTCATGCTGGTTTATCTAGTAAAATGTCGCAGCATCCATGGTGGGATGAGAGTAGTGCTACTAGGAGCTTCAACCACTTCCTCCTACGATGTTGCTTGTGAAGTCCCATTGCAACATTCTGATACTTTTTATAATCTGAAACAATAATGTATATATGATAAGATATAATTGGAATAGCTAGGTGGCTGCTTCTCACCATTAGGTGAACTTTTGCTGGTATGGGACAATTCACTTGTTGATTGCTTATCATAGTGCTCTAGGAATATGTATGCTTAAAATGTCAAATCAAAATTTTTTCCCTATTTATAACAAAGGCAGTTCTTAAGTTTTCAGTAAAACAATTTGAAATAATCAAATATATGCTGTATTTTATGCTTTAAGTCTTCCATGTTCATTAAAGTTAATAAAAACCCTTTCCTATCTCCAAATTTAAGACACAACAGAAATAGATGTGGTACTTAGAAACTAAGAAGGATCTAATTATATGTAAAGTTTTTGGATACATTGTATGTGTAAAGTTTTTTACACAATCATTCAATTATGTGTTAACTCATCATTAGAGAGACTTGGTACAAGAAACCATGTATGATCTAATTCACCTGTTGACAAACTGCAACATTGTTAAAGAGGATATTTGTTGTTTAGGTTAATATTTCTGTATCCCCAATGTTTCCACTATAGTTTTCCATCATTTGGAATCTTCAGCCAAAGGTTTAAAAATTAAAGATGGTCCTTCCAGAAATACCTTCAGATCATGGTTCTAGTGGTTTAACTGGTTGAATAGTAATTAAAATGTGGATGATAGATCCAAAACTTTAGGGATATTGTATCAATGGAAAGCTAGAAATATAAGACAAATAATACAAGGGCAGATCCTTCCAGCCAAGCAAAACTCAAAGATAACATAAGCCCTTCTCCAACAATATTTCATATCTATTTTCTCTCATTATAACTAACTTTCCTTCCTTCACACACTCATCACATGCATTCTGTTACGATCCCATTTGCAAGGTATGGGACTTGGAGTCCCACATTGGTTGGATAGGCAACTAATGTGGAGTTTATAAGGCTTTGGGCACTTCCACCCTTTGAGCTAGCTTTTGGGGTGGTGCACCTCAAGGTTCTTATCAAATGGTATCAGAGCCTTTCACTATGCCTCCCGGTTGCAATTGAGCGGCGCAGGTGGTGACGCCAGCATTGCAGTGTTCTCCCGGGGCTAGTAAAAGACTAGCGCAAAGCCAGCCCGAGTGGGCACCGAGGCTGCGGAGCGTGGTGGAATATTACGATCCCATTTGCAAGATATGGGACTTGGAGTCCCACATTGGTTGTACGGGCAACTAATATGGGGTTTATAAGGCCTTGGACACTCCCACCCTTTGAGCTAGCTTTTGGGGTGATGCACCTCAAGGTTCTTATCACATTCCCTCCTAATTACATTTGGGATTAGATTTAGGCCTAGGAGAACATACTTGTCAAGAATCAATTTAACTCAAAAGCTTAAACTATTAAGTAAAGATTATATCAATGATTTTATACATTATATCTCAAACACACCCTTTATAGTGTTATGCAAGAGCCTCTTCGGTTTGAAGCGTGAATGATTTTTTGTGTGTGTGTTGATTTTAACTTACTTTTTCATTAGAAAACGGGCGATCAGATCGAACTCATGACTACTTGATCACAGATATCAAACCTCAATTCAACCCAAAAGTTAAGCTATTAGGTAAATGTCACAATAGTCATTTTATATATTGTGTCCATGTTGGGTATGGTGTTATTAGATAAACATTAAAATGTCCGTTTTAAATTAATGGGTTTAGAAGTTTCGTGTTTAGGATTGAACGATGGTTTGCCGTTTGTAGCAGTTTTTGTTTCGTTTCTATTTTATGGCTTTTAATAGTTTTTACGTTACTTTTAGCAAGCTACAGCATATAAGAAGATGTAATCGTTATGAACAAAAAAAAGTGTGCAAGTAAGCAAGTTTCGTAGAAAAAGCTTTCGTAGATACTTCCGTGTGGTTGTCTCTTGCATATGTGTGAAGATACCATTTCTAACAAATGGCTCATACTTCGCATGTTGATGAGGACCCTAGTTATCAGGGTCAGCAGAAAGGCAACTGGGAGTTTTCTAATCTTATTTATATTTTCCTTATAAACCGAGTGACTTGTAATAAGTGGCGGTGAGGTGAATATAGTACAGACAAGCTGAACGTAGCCTATATTGGCTGAACCAGGGTAAATTGTTGTGTCTATTCTCTCTCTTTTTCTTTTTCGTTTTCGATTTGTGTGATTGTTGATTTCCAACATTCCACAGGTCATGGTCATATCGGAGACATTCACTCCCCTTATTAAAACACTAGTATTCCTTTTCTTAATACATGCTTAGAAATGAGAAACGAGATAAATACCTGAGTGTTAAACAAGGAACTATTCTTTGTGGCGATTGTAGCTGTAAAGGACATGAACTTTGGCCTACGGTTTCTGGCCAGCAGGGTGAATTTTCAGCCAGTGTCTTCTCTTTCTCCTTAATCTAGCCATAAATGTAAGAAAAGTCAACTTTATTTTTTCTTATCCTTTCTTGTTTAGAAGACTGATACATTGAAACATTATTAGTTGCACATATGGCTTCTACCTTGTTTGCTAGCATGTTGTTTTTCTCCTGCAATGCCTTTGTCTGTCATATGCAGAACAGAAATCAATATTTTTATTCCTAACTATGATTATGCATAAACTTTGCAATCAAACCTAGAGATATAATATAAAATTATTAATGGACCTCCAGTTAACAGCTTAAACTTTTAGTTGAGATAGCATGTAAAGCAATCAATTCAATCTAATAACTTAAACGGTTAAGTGAAGGTTCATTAATGATTTTATATTATATTTTTCAAACATAATAAGCAAAAATTAATTTAATAAACACCAGTAAGAAAAAAAATGTCAAAAAAGAAAAAAAATAGAAAAAGTCAAACTTGGTTCACAAGCAGAAATATTAATGTTCATCTGCCTTTATGTATAATACAAAGTCATACACAGGCCAATACTTAACAGTTAAGCCCCCTCCTCCAACTGCTTACCTTTTTATGCATCTCAGTGATGGATTCATGCACAACTTGGTTCTGCAAAAATCATAATGATCAATCAATTATACAAACAAATGTTGCATATGCTAATGGTAATTTTATGTTCAGAATAGTTGCATTTCCTTCAGCAGTTTTTGTTTTCTTATATGTCTTTGTAGATGATAAAGCAATCTTTCACCTTTCTTGTTCGGATGCGCTTTAGAGCTGAGTCAAGCTGATGCTCTAAACTCTGAAGATCTCTCAAGCTCAAAGGATCCAGATCATGTCCCACGAAGTTCCTACATTGAAGATCATAAATGCTATTTGTAACTGTTCAAAAAATCTGATGGTTTTGAAGCGTCTAACCACTTATAACCCTTTCAAAATTCTGACCCCACACATTAGATGAATCTCATAGCATGTTTTGTGCACTTGTGCCACCACAACAACAAAAAACGAATGGATGTAGCAACACAGTCTGAGTAGAGTGGGGAGATAACCTACATCTTTGAGTAGGGACGAGGAGCTTTAACTATAATTAAGTCTCGACTCGGGATTAGTCTCGGCTCATAGAGTTAAAATTTGTTGGGATAAACGGGAGGCCGACTCGCTCCGAGAAATAATTAGGATCAATATACTATAAAAAAAAAACCCTTTTTATGGCCAAAGGAACTTGATAAAACCTTCAAGTATGGGTGGTAGTCATTAATACCTATTTAAATAAAAAATCATTAAGGATGAAAGTAATTCTTATACACAATCATACCCTTGTATATTTATAAAAAAGACTATTTTCTAAATTCGAACGTGTGAACTAATACCTACTTAAATACTAACACAAACATAATTCCTAACCCCTTGATCCCTCCAAACAAACTTAGTTAGTCACACACACCAAGAAGACAAGGTGACCCCAAGGAAATAATCCTAGGAGGTGAAATTTATTTTGGCCAAGGGAACTTGACAAAACCACCTAACGTGGGTGGTAGTCAGAGTCATACAATTCTCACGTGTGTAAGGGAAAAGAAGAAAAGAAAGAAAGCAAATGGGTGGCATGACCCATTCTTAGTTGGTATATAACACATTTGAGCAACATTTCGTTGAAAAACTTCCTCCATAGCTCAAAATAATTATAAAGTTTACAATGAAATTTCCACCAATCAAAAAAGTTTACAATAAAATCTCAAATATCTACCTTAAGTTTCTCTCTAGAACTTGAACTTTGCCGGTTAGCTTGAAGCATTCCAAGGACCAGTTTCTCTGCAACAACAAAAAAATTAGCTTCAATTACTACCGATGAATATATATAGAGGTAGGATCCTTTGACACCGGTGTTAAATTTTAATTTTGACACCTCAGTTAGATCAAAAAAGATCAATGGTGTCACATGCTTGTAAATCAGAGTCTTCGATTTTTTTTGATCTAACGGCTCTCAGATGAGGTGTCAAAATTGAAATTTGACACCGTTGTCAAAGGATCCTACCTCATATATGTATATATATATATATATATATATATATATATATATATGGGAAAATTGGGTGTCCAGTCACCAGATATAAGGTTTTGTACAGTCACCGCATTATAACTATGTACTCTGGGAAATACATAGTTATAATATTAAAGTTTATTTTTTCTCTCTCTCTGCATCAGCGGACAAGTTTCTGAAGAGAAAAAAAAAAAATTCTAATATTATAACTATGTATTCCCTGGAATACATAGTTATAATGCGGTGACCAGGCAAAATATTATATCCATTGACTGGACACCAAATGCACCATATATATATATGGAGTTTACATTTCTGCAGCTGTTGTACGTGCAACAATCAAATACTTGCCATATATATTATATATACTTGAAAGCATTAAATGCAGGAAATCATAACCATACAAAGGATGAAAGCATTAAATATGAGGAATCATAACCATACACATGTCGTTGTTGTACGTAAAACGGCTGTAGAAATGATTTTATATATATATATATATATATATATATATATATATATGAGGATGGTTATACTTACAACCTATTTTCGTTTACAACCTCTTACAACCATATCTTAACCGTTGATTTCCGCCAATCAACAGTTATCATTTATTGTGAATTAATAATTAATTAATGAGTTTAATTTGAAAAAATAATAACCGTTGATTGGCGGAAATCAACGGTGTTAAGATATGGTTGTAAGAGTTTGTAAACAAAAATAGGTTGTAAATATAACCTTCCTCTTAAATATATATATATATGAGAGGTTATAGTTACTACCTCTTTTTCTTACTACCTCTTACTACCGAATCTTAACCGTTAATTTCCATCAATCTTACGGTTATAATTTATTGGAAATTAATAATTAATTAATAAGTATGACCCAATAAATTACAACCGTTAGATTAACAGAAATCAACAGTTAAGATTTAGTAATAAGAGGAAGTAAGAAATAGAGGTAATAACTATAACTTCCCCCATATATATATATATATATATATATATATATATATATATATATATATATATAAAAGAAATATTACTCTCATTTTACATGGATAGTTATCTCATGTTCTCTCACTTCAAAAATCTCACCCCCTCTTTTTTTTTTGCCTTTTAATCCCCGCTTGGCTTCTCTCTATAGCATGAGAGAACTACTCTTATGTAAAATGAGAGTAGTATTCCTATATATATATATGGAAAAAGTGTTTGTCATTTTAAATGACAGAAAGTTATGTCATTTTAAGAGAGATACAGACACAGAAAATTTGAATTTTAAATTAAAAAAAACCACCTACTTTCTCTCTCCCATAATTTCCGTTTTTCTGTGTCTATCTCTCTTTTAAAATGATATAACTTATGTCATTTAAAATGACAAACACCAAACCCTATATATATATATATATATATATATATATATATATATATATATAAAGTTATATCGAGTAACCCAACGACGTTGTTTTGGGTTTAGAAAAAAAAAATACGCTATTTTAAAAATTTTAATTTCATCTTGTATCATGAATTTTATTAAAATACCCTGTATTTTTTTTTCCAAAACCCAAAACAACATCATTTAATAACAAAACACATGCACAGTCACAGTCACTAACTTTTTAATTTTCTATTTACATTTTCTGTCTAGCTAACTTCAGAATGAGACCTAATTCATGTCAACAGATCTTTATTCCTGTTTTCTCCCAGTCCATTATTACGCATAGATTGTGAATATCTTAAGAAAAATCTAACCACCTCTTCATGTACACAATATAAGTATGAAAGAAAACACAGTAGGGGTAGATTTAGTCTTGGGTTTTGTATTAGCAAGTTGACATATTAAGATATCAATAGAAACTATGTTTCGATGAGGTACCTGTGATTCATTATCAGCTCCAACAAGTTTGACTGTATGAGCATGTCTCTCATATCGTTCCAGGATGTTTTCGACGCTGATCCACAAGTAAATAGAAACAATGAAGAAAATGAAAAAACTTAACTCCTGAAGTATATAGAACATTGTCATTCATAAAAGAAATTACGGTTGAGTTTGATGCATACTAAGATACACGACAGGAAGCACATGACAAGTAAATTACTAAAGACAAAACGTTTTGATCTATTTGTTGTTTCATAATCTAGGCACATCTACTAGTGATAATTCGGTTTGATACGACATAACACAAATTTGATACGAACATGATACACTCAACACGAACACGACATGAAGTTGAAAACGGCTAGGTAAGCAAACTCAACCTTTTTCTTGGATTAGGATAATGACTAGGTAAGAAAACTTCTAAAGGAGAACATATGGTGTGATTTAATCCATCTGCATTCTTGTGGTGTTTACAATCAATTAATGTGAATTTGAAAGATGTTAGAGAAATACAATATAAAACCATTAAGGACCCATAACTTAACAGCTTAAGTTGTTGAGTAAAATTGTTGCTTTAAAAGAGACCATAAGAAATTTGTCAAGTGAAAATTCTAGATAGTACTTTTTATGTTTGGACTTAATTATTTCAGTTACTCTCATGATAAACAATACTTATCAATATAACTTTAATTATAATTATTTATATGAATTCATGTGTATGATCTTAATAAAGGATAATATTTGCAAAAAAACAAGGGTTTGAAAAATGACTGCCTTACTCATCAGTCTTTCAAGTTTGAATTTAAAGGACATACACGTATTCTAAATGCCTTAAATTCAGTAAAAATAAAATAAAATGAAAGTGATACATTTTTTTGGTAAATTGATAGAACCGTATATGAAAAAAAAAAACTGAAAAAGAAGAGACTATAGCCTACTATACTGTATCAAAGTATAAGTCATTTTTTAATTATATATTTTGTATATTAACTATCGACCTTTACCTTTTTTGGGGATACATATATGAAATAAATTAACTTTTATCTTTAAAATCTGGACAACGACCTTATATTTCGTGAAACATGATTATTAATTAGATGCATTTGTACGCCAAATTTAATTTGAAATTATAGAATTTAGGATCTAACATCAGTATAACAATAATATATATCCCTATTTCATTGAACTCTTCAGGACCAAGAATTGCAAGAGAAAGAAGTAAAGACTAAAAACCTGAGATATTATAATTAACATTTATTTAGAGAAAAAGTTTTGAATAGCCACAGTAGTAATATGGACACCCTAATCAACTCTTAACATGTAGATCGATAGACATTTTTAAAAAACAAAATATATTTGTTTTGTTCACATAGCCACTATACAAATTAAATATTACCTATTGATTTAAGTATATCTCCATTCGCAAATTCCTCTAAGAATTAAAATATACACTTTTGTACACCATGCCATGCCAAAATTGTACGAGCCTTTAACTATTTTAATATCTTCATGTAACACAATGCAATTATATTAAACAGAAAAAGCTACTTTGTATCCACTTCAATGTTTTGGTTTATTGGGATTTCAAAAACTAACATGAAAAAGAGGCCAAGTCAACATATATATTATCATTCGTTCGCTTTGGTATTTAAAAAATGAAGGGACAAGGGATATTTTCATGACTTACTTTCTTACGATATTTGAACATTATAAATTATTATGATAATACATCAAACTTAAAAATATATTGTGAAAGTATTATACCATAATGTATAATAGTGATTTTATGAGTATCTACCAAGGATAATGGAGAATTGCACCTTACACCGAAACATTATTACTTTATATACAATGATTTAGATTTATTATATTTTATATATATTTACGAAAAGAACAACAGTTTGTGTAAGAAAAAAAAAATGTCACTATTCTCATTTATAGTACTAATGTTGAAAAATTCTCAAACGCCTTTAATTTCTTTCGCTTTCTCTCCCAATAATAATTAAGTGTCCTTTTCTTAACCGCTGTATCAATTATCAAATGTATAAATAGCCACATTTACTAGGTTACCAAACCAGGAGAGCATATAATAATAATAATAATTAAGTGTCCTTTTCTGGCCCTGCCCCTGCCCTAAAATGGCGCAAAGCTCTAGGATACTGATCACCACTGTTAATCTTTAATTGTTTGACAGTATATTTATGTATTTGTAGGAAAATAACAAGGAAAATAACTGCATATATATAGTATATACATACATATACAGCAACCAAAAAATACTATAACTCATCGTGATACCCCAATATTGGTCATAATTGTATTGATTTTGTTGGAGCCAGAAAATGCATTGTCTAGAAATTATATTAAATGAGAAAATATAGAGAGATTTATAAAGTAATATAAACACTTACACAAAAAGTAATATAAACAAAACTTGTAGTGTGACTCAGATATGGCTGTGTAAACAAGAAAAATAGAAAAATAGGTGTGAAAATCGAAGAACAAACTAGCAAGTTATAAAACTAATTACTACTATTGCACTTTGAAACCGAGTACTATGTGAGTTAGGGGGTGACGTTAGAGAGAGACAGAAAAAAAAAAAAGTACAAAAGAAAAGAGAAAAAAGAACTAATCAAAGAGATTTATACATGTGTGTGGTTAAGTTAAATAGCAAAAACAAAAGAAAACAAAGTGAATCCAAAACCAACCCAACAAGGAATCTTAATATATGAGCACTTACAAAGGTGAAGCAAATAATCTTAAGAGGTTGTTCAAGTTATACAAACCTGGATTCAGATGAATACTCAAAAAGTTTCCCATTGTTGTTGAACACAATCAATGCTACTTGAGCATCACAAAGCACAGAGATTTCATGTGCTTTCTTTTTCAACCCCGTTCTCCTCTTTGAAAACGTTACTTGGCGACTGATTTTATTCTCGATCTGCTTTAGTTCAACCCTTCCTCTACCCATTTTTCCAACCTTTATAATTGAAAGAGGCCAAAGAAGAAGAAGAAATAAGCAAGTTAGAAAGAAGAGAGAGAGAGAGAGCGAGAGAGAAGAATAAAGAAACCCTAGAGAAAATAGAGAATAAAGAGAGTAAGTATCATTCACCTCAAAGCATGAAATAAGAAGAAGTGGAGGGTGTCTATGTATAGCATATCGTATGTGTGTATGTTTCTATTTTTGTGGTGCTAAAGGGTTCTAAAATAGCTAGTTTTCATGGTGAAAAAAAAGTAAAAAGTGGATGAGGGAAAATAGAGAGATTTAGAGGGAAGAAAAGAAAGATAAAATAACTATGTTCGAAACAATGCGTTGTCGAGTTTGGATTGGGTGTGCTGAAAAAGTGTACGATGCGTTGATTGTTGGAGAAAGACACATCGTAGATGTCTCATTTTGACAAGGATGGTGAAATTCCGTACGAGGTTGTGGGGTCCATGTTTTATATACATTAGGAAGGGAAACAGGTTGGGTGTGGTGTCTTGTGTTTATACTTTATACCACGTACTCTTTGCTTCTAATTGGCTCACTTTTCATGTCACTTCCTTCACTCGTTAGACAATTTTTAAGTACCACTGGATGGGAGTGAATCCTCTCATGTGAAAAAGTGATTATGTGGTCATATCATTTGATCACAATTACTCATTGATGATGAGATAAGAAAGAGAAAAGTATATAATTTTTAAATGAGTGATTGTGATCAAATGACATGACCACATGACTACTTTTTCACATAAGAGGATCCAATCCCCCACTCGATAGGATACTTAGTTTAATTAGGTTAGTGGTTCAATCATTGCATAATTTGTTTAAGGGATTAATATTTCTTATATTATATGAGATGATTTTATTTATTATAGGAAAAATGTTTGTCCTTTTAAATGACACAACTTACATCATTTCACTCTCATAAAAATATGAAACTCACACCTTTATTTTTTTGTCCACTCTCTCTCCTCCTTTATCTATTTCTTTCTCTCACTTAAAATGACACAACTTTACATCCTTTAAAATGACACACACTTTACCCATCTATTATATATACATAAATAAAAGTGTGTAAAATTCATGTGAGATTATGTGAAAAAAAAAGAGAACACAAAATATTGGTCGCATACACTTTTATGTGTATATATATAGAAGATAAAATTATGTCTTATAACATTAAAAACATTAATCTTTTTGTTTAATTGCTTAAATTAAACACATATAATTCAATATAATAAATATAAAATTAGAAACATTATAGTCAACTAACAAAATTGGTTCAGTGATAACTGTTATAAGTTACAATCCATATGGTCTTGTCGTCTAGGTTTGGATCCCAATAATGGTACTAATTGAACTTGATGCAAGACCAATTTATCGATTTTATACTAGTCAAGTGCATGATCCATCCAATACTTGAACCAGGCATATTGGGTATTGTTACGACTTTGGCAATGCACCGGTCGTATAAGTAATAAAGTGTATGAGTAAGATCGTTCCTATGAGGATTAGATTGCAATAACTAATTTGCTATTTACGCTTAAGTTGGACAATTGATCAATAGAATTGTATGAAAATTCAACTAAATAACAAAGCTAGAAAGTAAAATCCGAATTACTTGACAATCAAGAAACATAATTAGGATTTCAATTTCCCCTAACTTTTCCTTTATGTTCTGAATTAAAACCTTAAATAATCGTCCTTTTTATATTACCCATCAATTCCTCTGAATTAGTTAAAACACAATCTCTTGACATTCTAACCCTTTACTCCTTTAAGAAAATCCTAATTCCTTGGTGTTTCTCGAAAGGATTTAAGCATTAATATCAAGAATCATAAAAATGGCACAATGCATATGTCTATTCCTAGAGTGATACAAATTAATGATGAATGAGTCAAACCAAATTCATATACCAACATCTCTATTGTCATATATGAATCCTAATTCAATCTACAAGAACAACTCATAGAAGACATTAAGCAAAACCACATTCATTCAATATAAAAAGGAAAAATTACATTAAAGATTAATTCAAAAATATAAAGATTCAATTAGGTTCTATCTAGCCCTAACTATAAAGAAAATCTAGCCTAACATGGAGAAATCAAGAACACAAGAAAACAAGAAAGCTTCCCCAAACTCCATTGATGTGATGGCAAAGTGAATCTTCAAGGTTTCCAGCGTAATTCACTCCAACCCGTCTCCGGCTCTCAAAAGCAGGAAAGACTCCCTCCTCTAATGAAAACTACGCCTCCGATGTCAAGTTATGTCAAAGACTTATGAAGAATAGCTTAAATAGGTGTATGAATCCTAGTTTTAGGTGAAAAACATGTAATGAGCCTTAATTGAGTCGCAATTGGGCGTTAAACGGGCTGTAGCGCATTAAAATGCGCTATTTTGACAGCAAAAATATGATTTCTTATTTTGTCCATAACATGAGTTATACTCTTCCAATTGATCTGATTTTGGTCTGGTTGGAAAGATAAAAAAGATATATTCAACTTCTATGGAGAACACGAGATCCAAATCCATCGTATTAGATACAAAAAATTGGTCGAAAGATAGATTTAGGGATATTTTCACTAAATGGTTGCTCCTCATTTATCGCTTTAAGTCCTTCAAACTTAACCATTTCTCCAATGCTCCAATTCAACTCAATTGTCCTAAAAAAAAAACAAAAATCATTCACATAAGTCAATAATTCAAACTCCATATTGTTTAGTCAAATAACTCTAAGTTTTCATATTGTTGACTATATATAAGAGTGATTTTAGTCCTTAAAAATATGATAAACTATGGGGTTATCAAGGATCTAGTTTTCGGGTTAGCCGACCATGCCAGATCGATTTTTATAACATTGATTTAAACAAACATATTAATTGTTTCATAAATATTTTTAAAAAAGTAAAATAAAATTATTCACACAACTTTTCTTCTGTTAATTTAATTTATATTTTCTAATGTATAGAGTTTTAATTTTTACATAGTTATAAAAACTTTAACAATTAAAACATCAAATCATGTGTAAATGGTTATATGACATTTAAACAACTTTTAATTTTAGTCATCATGCATATTATCTTTTTAAATATGTACAACTCTCCTTACCAAATATATATATACATATATATATATAGGGGCAGTTATACTTACCACTAAAAAAGTTTATCACCTTTATAACCAACTTAATCATCGTTGGATTATAATTAAATTCAATGAGTCTTATGTATAAAAAAAAAAATCACAATCAATCCTTATAATCCTAATTTTTTACCTTTCATTCTCTCACCTTCTCTTTATAAGAATAATGTTGCAGGAAAAAGATTGTATCATGTCATAGAAATACCAAGAGTGGGGCCCACTGATTTTTCTAAAAATAAAAAAATACACATTTCGAGCAGACCCACTTTCCTGAGACATGACAAAACCATAACCCATATATAGAATGAGTTTTACAAATCAATGAACAAGCAACCTATTATGAGACCTTAAGCTATAAAAAGTTAGCATGAAAAGTAAATGATTTCTTACTCACTGTTATGCCTCATATATGTCAAATTACTAATACTTGGATATGTAAAGTATTTCATGTTTACATTGTTTTTCAAGTATAGTTTTGAAACTTTAAAATACAAATACGTTATCAATGCAGTGTGATAGATTTCAATTTGGAGATCTATCTTGATTTGGCACTGACTATTGGGTCGAGATAAGCTCGAAGGATATGAGAGCAAAATACTGAGAAGCAAATGTATAACAACTGAGGAGTAATTAATCACTTATAGAGCCAATTTACCCAAGTTGTGCAAGCATACACATCAAGTAATACAGGGTTTCATATGAGCCCCGGATTATCGTCTTCAGGGAACAATTGTAAAAGTGACGTTGAAAGAAATGTGGATAAGAAAATGGAAATAGAGAGCAACAAAAAGTAAGAGCACTTCTTTCAAGGATTTGAATTGTTCTAAGTTCTAAATTCACCAAAGAGAATTTGTCACCAGCTGATTGAAATAAGTCAAGGAGACTATAATGACGAAGCACTGGGTTTCCTTTTTTAGAACCTAATTGAACGTTCCTCGAGAGAAATCAGAGAATTAGTAGAATTACGAATAACAAATAAAAGATTGGATCAATTACTGTAATTCATTAATAAGAAAGAAATGAAGAGCAGAAGCAAAAATTGTTTAAGTATTTTTATCAAATGATAGAAAGTAGATGAAAATAACTTTGGTTCAAGTTTAAGAAAGCGTAGGCATCAGATTAATATTTTCACCTTCTTGGTTGTTCTTGCAATGTCATAAGTTTTCAATAATAAAATATGCTTCCAACAGCTATTGTGGGTATGAAGATATATTACTCTATTTACATGCCTTACGCTCCCTAAGTAACTGAAGCAAAAAGGCCTTACTTGCTCCAAAATACTTCAGGAGTTTTAAGTTGAAACTCAGGGAGATCGTGTTTGCCTTCTTCGAATAAGTATGGCTGAAGGAATCACTAGTAAAAGTGATTTACACACAATTGTGCTCCTTCTTCTGCGTATTCTTTTATGAGAGAGCAAATATCCCAAGATTCCCAACGTTGCTCCACACTTCCTTATGAAGGTTTCACCTACCAGGTTGGCCCAGGATGAGGTTGCAAACCAAGGGGTTTCACAATATTATAATATTAAACCAAAAAACAACACATATTTCATTAAAGAAAACAAAATTTCATTACAAGTTCATCCTAAGACACAGAGGGCTACTTTTATATCACCCTTAGCCTACTAAAGTAACTTAGCTTATGCTCAAGAGCATGATGAAAACATAAAAACTGAAAAACTACTGGAAAAACTAAGGTAATGAAAATGGTGGTTTTGCTGAAGAAGATCCTGATGCAAGGTAGGGTATTCTTCTTTTATTTGTAGGTGATGATTCCTCTCTAGCTTCTCTCATCCATTGATTAGATCAAAGGCTAAGAATTCCTTAAGTGCTCTCAAATCAGAGGTCTTCTCAGTGACATGTTAGCCTTATCCATTCTCTTGGTCCTCTTCTTCTTCCACTTTTCACTGAAATTCTTGACGCTGAGATGCTGCAAAATGTTACAATATTCTTCCTCTACTATCGTTGATGTAGCGAATCATGGTTGGTCGCTTCCTACTCCAAGGATGCTGCAAATGATGCTTTCTGGTTGCTTTTTACTTTATTTTCTTTATTGTCTTTTTCTAATTTATTTTCCTCCAA